GCTAAAAAAAATAACGTGACCTGACAAATGCGCGCCGACAAATGCACGCCGACAAAACCGCAGTTAGGGTTAGGGTTACAATGTTGTTTTCGTGTCCCACTATGTTGTTTGTTCATGGCACGGTTTTGTGGGCGTGGTTCTGTCAGCGCGGTTCTGTCGGCGCGCATTTGTCGGGCGCGCATTTGTCGGTGAACCAAAAATAATGTTGCACTTTATAGAAGGCCATTGTGAAACAAGCAACAATCCAATCCAACATTCATAGTTTGTAAAAAAACGGTTTACATTCTATGTAAACTAAATAGTCCTAAATTGCACTACACTCATCTTTTATAATATCCATCACAGCACTGTTAAACCAAAGTACAGGGAAAGGAAAAAGCAGACAACTGGAAAACTTAATTCACTTACCTTTGTGGTTAAAGATGCCTTCCATCTCCATACTACTCCTAGAATGCGCAATGCAGAGAGAACCACAGGGAACGAGTCCTTCCGCAGCTGGGGATCGGTCAGTAGTCCGTACCAGACACCAGTCAGGTTTATCATGAGGTCTCTCCAGCACTTCTACTGTCTGACCACGACGGATTGTGAGTTCATTGCTGTTGCATGCTGTAAAGTCATGGATGACCACTGTCAGCTCACAACCACCAGATAACTAGGAGGAAGAAACAAAACAGAAACCTCAGTGTTCTGTGTTGAAGAATTCATCCATTTCTACCCATCTGGATAATTTTTTGACCATCTGAAGCGGTTCCATAACAAATTGAACAGCTAGTGACATTAACATAATTCTCACTTTGCATTATATGTGATAGTCCTTACATAATTATTATTCTTCAGTTCTTCTGGATATATATGTCCGCCTTCTCAGCGAGAACGTGTATAATGAATTTAATAAGAAAATATTGAAAAGCTGAATTTATTTTTAAATAATTTACATGAAGTTTTACTATTTTTTACATTATATATTACATTATATGCAAAAATGTCCAGTGATTTTATAACAATTGAAATAGATTTTCCTAGAACATTCATGGTGTGACCCAACAAAAGCGCGTCGACAACAGCGCGTCGACAGAAGGACGATTTAAGTTAAGGTAAGGGATAGGGTTAGGGTTAGGTTTAGGGTTAGCATTACGTTTAGGGTTAGGTTACTGGATGGAGTAAACCCAGTCTGGCTGCTGTCTCCACGATCACAGGCGAATACAATAATCAGAATTTAATTTCACTTCTGAATAATGCACTATGTGGTTCTGGAGAAGGGATGTATTACTCTTGGCGATTTGCATTACAAAAGAGGACGCAACCAGTCCATTTTTTTGAATATTACTTTTTGGTAGGTCTCTGGTCATCCAGGGCTAAGGTGTATCTTTCCAGTTCATCAGACAATCCTTACAAATAAATAAAATAAAAATAAACGTACAGACTTAATTTTCCACTTCCTTTCTACATAATGTATTATAACTTCAGTTAGTCTAGCTGGAATGTTCCCAAAACTTTCCCATGACCACAGTCTGCAAAAGCTTGGCTTTCTGATCTTAAGTTTTGAAAGTGGGAAGGGGGAGAGGGCAAAGAGAAAAGACGATGTATGTTTCTCATAATGAAGCAAAATAAATCAGCTTCTATCCGTCAAGACACAGGCAGGAATTGTTCCCAAACAATCTCTCAGGATAATTTCCAGTCAAGTTAAGAGGTGTGCATTTTCAGAAACATGTTGCCTTCTTCCCTCTTAAGCGTATGAGGGGCACCCTTTTTCATCCACACCCATTCTGTTTTGCTTATACTAGCACTCCATCCACTCAAAATCATGTCAAAAGACAATTTATTTGGGGGTGGAAAGGGCAGGCCGGCAAAAAAAGCCCTTGGGGCTTTTAAAAATGATTTATTTTTATATTACTTCCCTTCGATTGGAGTCAGAAACAATTGAAAACAGCTGTATTCCTGAAGCGGTCTGAGAAAGGGGCTTTTAAAAAAAAAATTAAAGTCTGATCACAAAGCAAGAAGGCAATAAGTAGATCTTCTAAGGAAAGAATGCTGCAAATAGAAAATTTGTGTTTGAAAAGAAAGGAAGGGAAGAAGGAAGGAAAGGAGGGGAGGAAGGAAGTAGAGAATGGAGGGACAAAGGAAAGGAAAGGAGTGGAGGGTAGGAAAGGAAGAGAAGGAGAGAAAGTAGGAGAGGAAGA